CCCCCCCCCCCCCCCCCCCCAACAAGACCCAAGATCAGGGCATTTAAGGGTAGTGCTAACATTAGTTTTTAGAAGTAGTTAATGTTGCAATCAAATGTTGTTAAATCAGTCTCTTTGTAACAGAAATCCATTCAATTGAATTAATAAAGAAATCTATTTTTATTGATTCATTATTTTGTGTGTTCGTCTCTTTAATAATTCATTTAAGGAAGTCCTGAAACAAGGTTTAAGAATTCATCCAAGGAAGTCATGAAATAAAGTATTTGAACCCATTTCCAAACAGTTGCCTAAGAACTATCTGACAATTAAAGCATTCCGATCGATCGTGACAAATTTTGAATTAACTCTTACTAATTCAAGAGACAATTAAAATATTTTTGTCGATCGCAACAAATTTTAGAGCAACATTTACTGATTCAAGAGTAGACTCAATAGTCTGGGTCTAGAAGGAGCCATTTATCTAATGGGCTAAACATATGAGAGAGAAAATCTAATGGGCTGGACAGTTATGGGCTTTCCGCTTCTCACGTCTCAAATCTCACCATGTAATTATAGCACATGCCTTACAAAGTCACGTGACCAATACTATACTGTGGTAGATCTGTATCGTCGTCCTCGATTAGGCGTTTCGATTCATCATCCAATACGAAGGCTTAGGTTTTCTGAGTTCAGTGGGTCATTTGAAGCCAATCTGTTGGGGAAATAACATGGCAAGAAATTGCGCAGTTGCCATAATTTTAATATTAACCCTGGCATCAGTGGCGTCGAATTCTTTGGCTTACAGACCCGGAGACATCGTTCCCATGAGCAGAATGGGTCAATACCACGCTGTCAGTACTCTTTCTCTCTTCTATTGCTTTGATCAATCTTTTTCTGTTTTTCTATTCCTCTGTTGGGTTTATTTTTTTTTCTTGTATGGTGCTTTGCATGTATTAGTCGAGAACTCCTTGGCATGACATGATTGGTCGCCACTGCCCCATCTTTGCCGTTAATCGTGAGGTTTGACTTCATTTTTATTTTTTTATTTTTTTATTTTTTTATTTTTTTGAGATTGATTGATTGATGTTTTGTTTAAGCAAAATTTCATTGCAATTCTGTGTGTGTAATTTGTCAATCAACTTTATTGAGATGGTGTGTAGGTATTAGTTCCGGTACCAAAGCCAACGGGTTACACTGGAGCTGATCCCTACAAATTGTGAGTTTTTTCAAGATTCCCACTGACTCCATTTTTTTCACTAATGTTTATGATTGTATACTGTCTTTTGATAATATGCAAATTGGGTTCGTTGAACATTACTGTTCAAAACAAACAAGATTCAATGTAAAGATGATCACTGAAGGGAGATCTTCAGATTGAGTATTCAGTCAGAAGTAAGTAGCAAGATTAATTAAAAAGACTAGACACAAAAAAAAAAAAAAAACACCCATATTGCTTAGGAGGACATCTGAGTCTGATCTACTTAGGCGAACCCATGGTTGGAATACAAAATGCATATTTACTCTCTTTTAGCTGAACTTATAGTTAGAATAAGTGTCGTCTTAATTCATCCATTAAAATGTTGCATGTTGATGTATATATTTTCTGTTTGAAATTGCAATAATAATCCTCATCTTAACCATTGAGGATATTTAGACCCAAAAGTATTTGGAAAGTATTTAAGGTGCCACTTCTATGTAGGAAGTCCATGACTCTATGCTACAATGTAGTTTCTTGCAAAATGAATGAGAAGGTTGATATGGTTCTAATTTGATGTTGTGGGAGCAATTTTTGATTGTACAAACATGTATTTCTCAACTATGTTGATCTCTGCATGCTGCAGATCAAATTTATTGACTTATAAGTAGCACTTAGTGCAGAACATACGAACAAATACAGGTAGAGTAATAGACACAACGGAAATGACACAGAGTTTAATTGAGGCACATTATAACTGTCAATTTGATACTATAATATACAACAACTTGCTATGTTTGTAAATGACATGTTATCATGTCTAAATTTTGTTTTAATGAAGGTAGTAGTCATTGTCTTAGTCTAAGGAGTTGTGACTGCTTCTGCTGTTTCCCAAATGTTTTACTGCATGTTAGGGAAAAGACCTTGGTTCGGAATTTTTTAAGAATCCAGTGTAATAATGAGGTTTGGGTTTTAATTATCGAACACCCTGAAGACCCAGTGAGTACCCCTGCAGTCAATAACATGCTTTTATATGTGTAACCTTTGCATTCCATCGTGTGCTCCCAACTACATTTTGTATTTTTCTGATCAAGGAACAGCTTTGAAACTTATGATTGTCATCATCTACACCTTATATTTCGCTGATGTTATTCCACCCCTCTCATGGTATTGAATACTAAAACAAAAAAAGACTTCCTACTTTAAGATCTGCATTCTTGGTCATTGATTTGTATATTCAGTCTGGAATTGCTCAGGGATTCGTACTTGAATTGAATATTATTCACATGCAGATCATTTCAAGTTGGAAGAGAAAAATTTTATATTCCGTGGCTTTTTGTGGTAAACCGGAAGAGTTCTGAAGTTCCTATGATTGATGTGCATTTGGTAAGGCTTGTGTTTCAGTAGAAACTGTTCTTCTGGCTAAAGTTTGTAGTACTGTACTGGAACACGTGCTTATTGGAACTACAGACATTCATCTCTTAAGTTGATATATCTAATGATTATCTATTTATAAGGTTGATTTCTTATGTAATGAAAGTAGGAATATTTTGTATGTCATACAGAGGTACTCTGGAAGCGATTTGCTTGGGATCACTGCAAAAGTTCTAGATATGCCTCATCGCTGTACGTCTCTCTTCTGATTAGTACCTTCATTGGTACTGGCATACTAAAATTGGTACACCAGTCTGCATGTTACTAAAATTGGTACACAAGTCTGCATGTTTTCCCTCTTTTTCCACTCAAACTTGCATAATTCTGCAGTTGTCTGTTAGAAGTTTAGAAGTTCTACTGAGTAGTTCAATGTAGGGCACATAATTTGAATTTTGCAATGTTGAAACATGGGTTGTGATTAGATCATCTTTATGGGTTGTGATTAGGTCATGCTTTAATTGATTCTCATCTTCCATACAGTGGCTTATAGGGGCTGTGTTTTTTACTGCTATTATTGCTATGTGGTTTCTTGTCTTCCATACTTGACCCCAACAATATATCCTGTCCTGCACACCTGACTAGTTTCTTAAATAGACGATAGCTTTATTCATCAGTCTCTCTAACTCAAGCTAAACACTAATCTTGTGCAATGCTTATTCAACAACCTTGAGTTGGCTGCACAAGTATTGTTCTTTCTTACTCTAGTGGGGTACAATTATTATTTTTGGTTTTGCAAGTCTCTGGGATGGCTTATTTCAAACAGAAAGAGGAAAGAGATTTTATCTGGGTATATTAGGAACGCCATTAGTTTGACTGTAAACAATGGGTACAAAATGTACAATGCAAAAAATAAGTAATGGACAATAGAGTAAGCCCTCGGTGAGCACCTCATCTTGTAACCCTCTAGATACTCAATCAGATGGTCTTGGGCCTTGCCTAGGGAAAAAAGCCTTTCAGCCATTTCAGACCCTCATTTACCAAGAAGTTGCACAGGTTGCTTTCTACATTATTAGAGCTGACATTCAGGCTGCTTATGATCTTCGTGCTTTCAGAAGAGAGATGCGGCGGGAAAAGCAAGGAAGTCCAAATAAGTGTCTCATTCAGCTGTGTTCAAATTAGCAGAAAGTTGCCTGAATTTGATCACTGTTGGATCCTGCAACGATCTTGCTTATTGAAATGTTTTTGCTTGGTCAGTTCAACCACTTCCTTTATGGCCCACAACTTTTCCGCAGGGCATCCTATTGTTGTTTTCTCCCACGTTCTAAGCTCCATCTAGTGGAAGCATATATGAATTGGATGACTTTCATACAATTAATGAACTTTTTGTCCCAAATTGACAAAATAAATTGGGTAGAAGAAAATTGAATTTTTTTTTTTTGGAGCTTTATATTGGTATGCTGAATGCAATAATGCATTTGGTCTCTGTTCTTTGTTGTCGTGTGGATATGGTCTGATGTCCCTTATTTTTCTTTCTTTCTTTACCCCCTGTCCTCTTTGATTAGTCGATTCATGCTATTAGAATTTAGAATGTTGTGGAAAAACTTATGGGGTTTGGAATTTTTCATTTCCTATATGTTATTTTCACTCTTCCAATGCATACCTTTGTTTTCGGAAGGATTCCAATGCACACCTTTCTGGAAATCTGGTTGATAGTTTATAGGCTTGGCTGCAGTATTTAACATTTATGTGTCTTGGACAGATGTTGAACTTCATCCTGACATTCGTAAACAATTTTGGGATCCACAACATTGGCCAAAGCATGTGCTTGTCAGATACACATGGTTAGTGTCATTGCAATCCTAATTAAAGATTTTCCATTCTCTTTGGATTAATGCAGAATGGATTTGCGTGGTTATATTTAGATTCATTGAAGTCTAGAGCCTCTTGCTATGGGTTACAAATTACAACTGTTTAAAAAGATTGGACAGCTTCCTGTAACATGAAATTTCTGAATTATTCTGCATTATTTCTTTTTTGGTTTAGAGTCATGTGAATATAGACATCTGTTAATCAGGCATGCGATTGAATGACTCCAAATATGCACCAAGGATTTATTTATCCATTCATGCTATAGTAATCTGGATTTTTGGACATGTTTGTACAAATTTTCGGTTTCTCTCAGTGCTGCAATTCTGGATCAGGTTTAATAAAGAAGAATGAATTATTTCTAAATGCACAGAAATTCCTTCCTAGGTCTGTGTACTACTCTGAGCTGTCTATTTGTAGATCACAAACCATGATAATTAAAACCACTCGGCCTAAATAATCCCTGCAGCTTTAGTGGATTGGGACTATGTTACCCTTCTGAAAGTTTGTGAACACCATTCTCAATGTCCGGTTGTTTATGTATGGATATATACTTGATACTTGATTGCATCGGATTTTCTTATAGGCCTGCATGCATGCATTTTTTTTATAAAACATTGTTGTTGGTAAATACACAATTTTTTGATCCACCATTAAACTTTTAAGAATATTTACTTCAGCTACTAGTTATTATGGGGTCATTGTCTTGTGCAGTGGTAAAAGTGTTAAGCTGATCAACAATGTGGTTGTGATTTGAATCTAACACTTCTCACTTTGTGGGAATGACGTCAAATGTCGAGTCTTTATAACATGTTTGCGCCTCCCAGTAACCTTGTCTAATGAGAATTAAATTAGGCAATGACCAATTTCTTGTAATTGCAGTGCATTTCATGATTTGTACAAAGTTCGAGATGCGTATACGTTTGCTAGTGATGTTCACCTTTCTGGTTCCTGTAAATTGCAGTAGATTGTTGATATGATATTCTAATTTATACTACAGGGAGGAGCAGTCTGAGATAGACGTGGCTTCTGGATTCTTTGTTCTCTTTGGATCAGGTAAAAATCTGATGAACTCAGACAACAGATCTGCCTACTCTAGTAGGCTGTGGCTGTAGCTTCTTCCAAATTCCAAAATCATCAAAATTGATCCTTCCCTGTTAATGTGATTTTGTTTTGTATAGCTTCGTGACCAGTGAGTTGCTCAAGACAAATGGAGCTGTCTTTACATTAAAATCATCGAAGTTATCAACGTTATTCTGTTACTTGTTGCTTGATGGTTTAAGAATCATATATTGATGATGATTAAATCACTTGGCTAATACCTCAAAATGGGCCTATACCCTTTTGCATTTGACGTACATGCTCCAGCATTACTTGCTAAGTTTGCATGCCAACCTAAGGACTTGGCTCTAAATTGGTGATTATTTGATTTCTTGTGAAATGTCGTATTAGGAGTAACCATAATATTTCACTAAGTGCTCATTTTAACTAAAGTAGCATGGTTTAATTTTTTTCCCTTGTTTTCCCTTCATTTCCTCTTCTTTTTTTTTTTTTGGGGTGATGTTTGTTGTGTGTGCATTTGGTTTTTTTTTGGAGGGGCTGGGGGGAGGCTTTCCTTTGCAGTTCTTGACGATCTGTGATCACTCAAACTTAAAATAATTAAGAGAAAGGAAAAAGGCTGGAATAATTTGGCTTTACCCCAGATTTTATTCTTTTTGGTGAATAGCCACATACCCTTCCATGAAGCTCATGTGCCATCCCCTTGAAGGTTTTTGAATTTTTGACAACAGGATCATGATACACATTTCTTATCTAGAATAGACTTGATTGTGAGTTCTGTAATTTCAGGGGATGCATGAACCTGATCGAATTTGTGATCAACCAAAGGGATCAATGTGATATGACTATGAGAGAGCTTTATGTTATGTTTTGTTTATGACTTCCCTTTTTGGCACCAAACAGGGCTTCTAGTGTCATTTATTCTCTCGATCTACATTTTGCAATCATCTCGAGATAAATTAGCAAGGTATTGGCCTTTCTCTTATGACATAGTAGCTATCATTTTCTCTATTTAACCATTTACTAGAACTAAAGGGCCAAAGAGTATGAGCCACTAATATGCCATTTAGAGATCCTTTATTTATACTTTATTTTTTTTTGGGTTGGGACTATGGGATATTTGTAGGTTCGTGAGAGAGACTGTTGCAGAAAGCAGCATACCTGGTGGAGGAGTGGCGAAAGTTGAATGAGGATATTTCATCTGTCCGTGCTTTGATTGTATTGTTAGCAGGGTATGTCTACACTGTTGTTGACAACTCGTAGTTCTTATTTGCTCAGGAGGGTCGTTCCTCTATCCCTTTCACTCTTGTTTTGGTGTTGGGATGGGGGGAATAGTGATATAGAATTGAGTGACAGAAAATTTTGATTTTGACTGTTAGACTTGTAATTGACCGGGATTCGAAAAGAATTCTGAATATACAGTTTAAACTGTGCAGCCCCGGGGGTTGGGGTGAGTAAAAAAAGAATATTCTGTGGAATTAAATGACATAATATTTATACTTGGACTTGGAACTCTGGACAATTCAGAAGTTGGGAATGTGTTTACGCTGTACCTTGTATCACTTTCCGAGTAGTATTTTACCCACAATTGATCAGTTTTAATACGCAATAGTATGAGAGAGTATTTCCCATCAAAATCACAAGGAAAAATAATGAAGGAATAACAAAAATAGCAAAAGGAAAGAGTTGAATGGAACACAATCAGGTAAAGGATGTTGGCTTGTACCAGGGGAAGGACTACTGGGCTGTGGATTGTTAAACTTTCTTGGGCCATTCATCTGGACCGCTAGTTCTTACCCCTAGGAGCTGGGCCCACATGGTTCCTCTAAATGGCCTTTCTTAATCTCAATCACAGAATTTGGAAATAAATATCCGGTGAATGAAGCCATAGATTACTTACTCCAAAAAAATAAAGCAGGAAGCAATAGATCAGGGTGAGAATTGAGTCATGTTGGTCATGTTATTTTGTTTTTGCATCGAATATTAATTCAATCTATTTAATTAATTGTGTCAGATGTCTTGACACTAATTCAATCTATTTATTACTGTATCGTGTTCAAATTGACATATATAACTTTAGATTTAAAAATCTAGCACTAAGATCGCATTGCCTTTTCAACTAAACCTATCATTAATAATTGTTTCGCAAGCTAAATATCTATTTATGTTTGTATAATAGCAAAAAACAAGTAAAAAATTTCTTTATTTATAATAAATCCTATCAATACGTGATAAAAAAGAAAAAAAAGTCATTTGATTATACTACATCAATTAAACGTGTTAAATTCGGGCTATTCATGTTCAATATTAACTTGATCTGGCCCATTTATTATTCGTATTTTGTAGGTCGTATTAATTTTAAGTTTGCATAAAAAATTAATTAATCATAGTTTATTAATTTTGTATCAATTTTAAATTATGTGTATCGTCTGGCGTCCAAAATTACCATTTTTAGAATTAGTCATAGATATCCTAATGCAAAAGAGAGTGTCGAGCTTGGATAGGGGTCACGACAGTGACAACTATATCTTTATAGCTAAATAATAAAATAATATTTATATGATTTTATTTTACATACAAAGCACCTCTCTTATATCGGGGCAATCATGTAGATGAAATGGCCAACCGTTTTATAAATTCTCCTTGATTAACATGTGTCATTCCTTGATTAACATATGTCTCCCTCAATACTAATTAAACACTCAACACTTAGAAAATCCTATTTTAAACCCTAACGTGTGACATGGCCATTGCAACTTAATGACTCTTAATAAGTCTCATTGATATGTTAGACTGGATTCAATAATTTTTATTTATGTGACATCTCTAAAATTTAGAGGTCCTTTCTTAACTCGTTGATCACACATCAACTCGCAGAATATCCGTAAATATTGTATAAATGGTACCACGTCGTTACACTTTTTTCACCGAAATTATAACTAAACGGAATTCAGATAGAGTTTCTTTTGCACGGGAACACAACTCAATACATAACTTGTGCATATATTAATCATACGATTATTTCATGGTCTACATTCTAAAGTCTAAGACTTCAAATTTAACCATTTATATTATCCAAAGAAAAGAGCTCAAGATATGGAGACTTGGAAGCGTTGAAGTTCAAAAACTAATTTGGAAATATGTACAAGTACTTCTAATAAGTAGTACCGGTACCTGATTAATAAGATAACTAAGTATGCATGTATATATACAATAATTTCTTTCAATTTAATATATCTGTATCATATGGAATTTACATTTATCTAAATNGTTACCTAATTAATAATATAACTAAGTATGCATGTATATATACAATAATTTCTTTCAATTTAATATGTCTGTATCATATGGAATTTTCATTTATCTAAATCTAAATCCGTTTAAATAAACTTAATCAAATTTCAAGTAAACTTATTTGATGGTATCACCAAAATACCTAAGGTTGAGCTTAGTAACTCAAGTCGAGAGCTCAACTCATTTATGTTATTTGTAGACCACGATCTCATACTTTAACTCTCTGTGTCCACATCTTGAGGAATCTCACAAAGTATCCCCTTTGTAGCATAAGTTTAAACACAAGTCTCGTAACCATCCCAACATCCATTACGGCCGTTGCGCAATAAAAGCGACCGTTACAAAGGAGGATCGAGAATCTCATCTCAAATCAAGCTAGGCTCAGGGACAACTATAAATAGGAGGCAAAACCTTCAAAAATAAGGACAAGTCATTATAGCCTCACCAAAGATACTTTCTGTAAACTTCAAAAGTAATCGATACATACAAGTCGAACTCCCGAGTTGGTGAACCATTATAAATACTCTGTGCGATCACCCACTTATTCCCAAAATCCTATTCCCAAAAGCCTTGGAGCACAGACTGAATCACATTCAACTGTTCAATACATTTTATATTTATACCACTGCTCAACCGTGTTAAGAACATCATCAGTATTAAAATATTAATTTATCCCAATTAAATAGACTCGAATTCAGATTAAAATCAACTCCAATGACGGACCTAATCATCAATCCAATATAAGTTTCAAAATTCCGGGAATAAGTTTCAAAAGTGAATACAAGAAATGTCAATGTTTTCCAAAGCATAAAAACATTCATGTGTGTCAAAAAAATAATCCACTACTGTTTAGATTAATGGGCATACAGGCTACAGCACAACCGCAGTGGGTGGGTTAGCGTCTTCACCCCCACAATATTCCATAGTCTACTCACCTTAACGGCAAATAGTTGTATCCTGCCATTTACCTAGGAACTCTTTGTTTTTGTATTTTTCTGTTTTTTTTATGTTAAAAAAAAAAAATTAGGTATTTTTGTGAAGTAACATTTGTTTTTTATTTATATGTATTAAGGCTCATATATATGGATCACTTAAACAGTAGTATTGCATAGATTTAAAAATTTGATTTAAAGATGTGACTGACATATTTGTTATTGATTTAACTGTAAATTTTAGTATTTATTGGGACCAATTATCTATTCAACGGTAGTGATTTATCAAATTAATTTTTTAAGTTTATTTAATATTTTTTAAAATTTTTTTTTTGTAAAAGTACAAAGGGTCCAACCCCATGCCTGTCATGTCATATCAGTAATGTGCTAGTGGCCTATGCTTAGCTGGGACCCGATTTGGAGATGAACCAATTGCTGGGACAACAAAATGACCAATAATTAAACTTAACAACTTGAAATAACTTACAACATTTTACACAAAGTTCGTAGCAACTTATAATATATATGTACTTGATGCTTTTACAGGCATTGTTTGAGAGTTATGGGGGATGATGGGGGGTTAGGGTGGTTTAAGTCAAGGCAGCACTTGTTTATGGCTTAAAACGGAAGTGTCTTGGTCATTTGTAGTAAAAGCAGCTAAGTTTGTGTTCCATAATAAACTAGCATTAGGTACTTTTTTTTTTTTTTTTTGGCAGCATCTAAGTGGTTGGCCAATGCTTTTGGGTTTGGAGCAAAAGAGAATAAAAGCACAGATAGACATTGGAGAATAAGTTAGTTTCTCCACTGTTGAGATTCAAGGTACACAATGATTAGAAAAACACCAAGCCCGTCTTAAGGGTTCTTGTACTTGTATCGAAGAAAGGGTATTAAGTAGGGTGAGGGGGAGACAATGAGCCGCGCTAGTGTTGGTTGCTTATTACTACCACGAAGCTTTTAAATCCCATTTAAGGTTTTCTTCGTCATTTTTTAGTTCGAAGGTTAAGAGTGTTCAAATCAGTTTATGTGCACCTCGACTAATCTCCTCTTTAATCCGACCAAAGACAGGTCATCCACGCCGAAATTAGTGTATTCATGAAAATTTTATCATTCATAACGTAATCCCAAAAGATTGTCAAAATTTAAATTCAAACATCTAAATTCATAATTCATTTCTGTTACCACTTAAATTACTCTTAAAATTAATCCTATTTAAGATTTCACTGTCTTTTTATTGAACACTTAATCATGAAACTCACAAAGGGAAAAACATTATCCCCATTAAAGATAATAATGATGTTACCTGCAAAAGATATTCAATCATGTCAGATGAAAACTAATTCTCAATTCTGAAGAGGACAAAGTATTGGAAAAGAAAAACAGTGCCACTTTTTGAATTATATATGTTTAATGTACATATTAACTTATCCTCGAGCCTCCAGTCCCAAAATGAGCAGTAGAAACAGCCACATATATGTATATATGTATATATAGTGCCTCTAAACCATGTTCTTACAAACTTGATAGTGGATTAACAAGATCATGAAACAGATGGGTAAATGTACGGCTGCAAACCCATGCATGTGGAGAAACTCTAATTGGTTTAGTTTGGCATCTCTCCACGACGGAATGGAGCTTTGGTTTCTTCAGAATTCAGAGGCAGATCCATAGTCTCGGGGAATATGCAACCAAAACTAGTTTTAATAGCAGCAAGTTGAGGTACTGGCACAGTGACTTTGAACTTGGTACTTCAACCCGATTCATACTTGCAGTAGCCGAGACATTTATCAATGCAGATAACCAATCCAAACACCAAAAGCAGTTTTTTTTCTGTGTTTTTAAGACTTTCTTAATTACTCTTAGAATCCGGAGAATCAAAACACAGGAAAGACCCCACTTTTTTTGTTGGTTCCTGAAACGACAAATTGCTTATTGTGAAACACTGAGAGATAAGACCATGGAAGATGAACTCAAACGGTTATTGGTGCTCGATTTACCATGTTTCCGTCCCCAGGTGGAGTCGAGACAATCTAAATTCGCAATGAAATGAAGAACCGATTAAATAAGAGAGAATAATAGAATTGTATTGGGATTAAACAAAGCAGCTCTTAAAACAACCAACTAGATTGTTATTTTACTGTTACTACACAGAGCNAGGAAATTGCTGATATTTCTCCAACAATTCCTCTTGATATCTACAATTTCGTTGATTTGTTTATCTAATTGTCTAAATTATAGGCAGATCTTTACCTTTCTATCTATCATTTGAAACAGTTCGGACATATCGGATGTCGAGCACACTCGATGTTT